AAGTTTGAATTTGAATTCAAAACTTATTTGGATAACCATTCAGGATATCTATATCTATTTTATCAATAGATATAGATAAATGGATAGATAGATATTGGTTGTTATATATTTGATTATATACATCTGATAATATGGGAATAATATATCGATATCAGATACGTTATGTGGTTTTTACCCATAACCTTTTTTCCCAGACTCTCTCTCTCTAACTCTCTCCCATATGAGAACGATCCAGCTTCTGCACTGACTTGTGTGGGTCATGGTCATTTTGTAGTATCACTCCACTGCTGAGTTGGTTGTTCACATCCTGAAAGCACGTGATTTACCCACGAGATTCTTCGCTTCAGGCTCTACTGAAAGGTATGACTATGAAATTTTTCATCCGCTGCGTTTTATACTTTGATTTACAAAAATGATATTGATAGTTTTGTGCAAATTAATTTGGGCAGGAAGCAGTGGAGGTTGTGGTTTTGTGCTTCTTGAAGAGTAAAATTGTTGGAGATGGAAGTAGATAGATATTGGCAAAGGTTTGAGGTTATAAGGATAAATGGGTTGATTTTTCTCTCATTTATTCTCTTTCTATTCTCTCTACATTGATTTGTACAAAACTTTTGTACAGGTTGGGGTTGCAGGGTTTTTAATTTACAATATGTATATGGTGGACTTGAGATAGGATGGAAGAAGGTGGATAGAGACGCTATAGTGGGAGGTGATGGCCATGGCAATAGGACGTGCGATGGTGGCTAGTTCTTCCACCCTTATATTGCTCTTTCTTGCTCTATATCTCTTTCTCTCCCTCACTCTCTAGAATAAAAATTGGAATATGAAACAAGGGTATTATAGAGATTTCACCATTGCATTGGAAGGTGTTAGCAAAAAGAGGTGTCCATGTAATTTCAAAGAATAGAGGGGGTATAGTGTTATTTCAAGATACAAAAATCTAGAATCAAGTGGTCAACACAAGGAGATAGGAATACAAAATTTTTCCATATTATGGCCAGCTCTAGGAGAATTAGAAATTCTCTGTGCTCAATAGTAGTTAATGTAACTGTTAAGGAGGATCCTGTGGAGGTGAAAGCAGCAGTTCAATAACATTTTATTAACCAATTTACTGAATCATGGCGCAATAGACCAAGGCTATCTGGGCCTTTTTTATCCATTGGGGGTAGAGAAACTGTTGAGCTCTTGGGAGCAAAGTTTTCAGAAACTGAGATTGAAGCTGCGGTTAAGTGTTGTGAAGGAAACAAAGCACCTAGACTAGATGGGTTTAATCTTATGGTGTTTAAAAAGTGTTGGAAGGTGATCAAGGCAGATGTGCTGCAATTCATGAAGGAATTTCATCAAAATGCAAAATTGGTCAAATGTATTAATAGCTCTTTTGTTGCTTTGATTGCTCAGAATGAGAACCCCTCTGATTTGAATGATTACAGACCTATTAGTCTCATTGGCTCTCTGTACAAAACTTTGGCAAAAGTATTAGCAAACAGAATCAAAACAGTGTTGCCTAGATTTATTAGTGTTTCACAATCAGCATTCGTTGGTGGCAGAAATATCTTAGATGGGGTGTTGGTAGCCAAAGAGATTGTGGATGGCTGGAAGAAGAGTAGAAAGAGTGGCATTTTCCTAAAGTTAGACTTTGCAAAGCATATGACTCAATTAATTGGAATTTCTTATTTACTATGGTGCCGTTTGGTAACACTTGCATTTTCAGTTTTCTGTTTATATTTACAAAAATTTAAAAACCTGAAATAAAAACTTGTTTAGTAAAATTTTTTATTTATAAATCATTGGTCTCAGTTTATAATTTGGCCAAAAAATGAAAACACAAAAAATACGTTTCCGTTTTGATTTTTGAGTTTTTTTTTTTTTTACCACCCAACACTAGCCACCACCCACCACCATTTTCACCACCGTCTTCCGCCACCACCACCTGCCGTCATTTTCCACCACTGTCTTCCGCCGCCACCACTCGTCTCACCCACCACCACTTGCCATCTCTCACTCTTTTTTATATTTTTAAATTTTTTTTAAACATTTTGTCTAAACCAAACGCGTTTATAGTTTATGTTTTTCTAAAAATAAACAAAAATCAGTTTATAAAATTTTTGTAAATATAAACTGAAAACGTAAACGTTAAGTGTCATCTATTAGATCTTGTTGCACCCCTATCTTTTACGGCCTCAATCACCCTGTTCTCCCAACCTCACTGGCAAACCCTTTTTCCCTTCTATCTCCCTTTGCCTTACCTATTGTCATCACGATCACCCCCACTTCTATTTTCATCGGCTAGATCCCATCATTGCCATCGCACTCAACCACCACTACTCTCTCTTTTTTTCTCTATGTAACCATTGCACCTATTACCAATGTGATTGTCATCACGACCCGCTATCACTACAACCCTAGCGATCATATGACAACTATTGCGATACCAACTAGGTCTGTGTGTGTGTGTGTGTGTCAGAAACCCTTTGTGGTTTCGATATCACCTCCCCCCCCCCCCCCCACCACCACCAACCGCCATCCGCCACCCACTTGCCACCACCACCCACTCGCTACCACCCGCTACCGTCACCCACCCACTCACCCACCACCACCACCCACCGTCACCACTTTCCACCGCCGTCTTCCGCTGCCACTTGCCACCACTTGCCATTTCTCACTCTTTTTTATATTTTTTTAATTTTTTTAAACATTTTGTCAATTACCAAACGCGTTTGTAGTTTATGTTTTTCTAAAAATAAATAAAAAATAAACAAAAACCAGTTTATAAAATTTTTGTAAATATAAACTGAAAACGTAAACGTTACCAAACACACCCTATGCTTTCAAATTTTGATTTTGGAGTTAAATGGGTAAGTTGGATGAGGGAGTGTGTCTCATCAGCCAGAGTTTCTATTTTGGTAAATGGTTCGCCAACCTCAGAATTTAGCCTGCAACGAGGTCTTAGACAGGGTGACCCTCTATCCCCTTTCCTTTTTGACATTGTGGCTGAGGGCCTAAATATCTTGCTGGTAAGAGCAAAACAAATGGGGTTGATCAAAGGGGCCGCAGTTAGATCAAGTGCTTTTCGGATCACCTATATGCAATTTGTAGATGACACAATTCTATTATGTAAAGCTGATAGAGGGGAGGTTAATAACATAAAGAGGATCTTGAGATGTTTTGAAGTGTTGTCATGCGTAAAAATTAACTACCACAAGAGTGTGGTGTGTGAGTTGGGTTAACAGATAAAGCATCTAAAGAATTTGCTGCTCAGCTCAATTGTCTACATCAAAATTTGCCCCTAAAGTACTTAGGACTCCCTCTGGGTACAAGTCCAAAGAGAAAAAGCACCTGGCAGCCAGTGTTAGTCAAATGCAAACAAAGACTTACTTCTTGGAAGAGAAGATTCCTCTCTTTTGCTGGTAGTGTGACTTTGATTAAATATGTGTTGTCTAGCTTACCAATTTATTATTCATCTTTGTTCAAAATGCCAGCAGGGGTTGCTAAGGAATTTGTATCAATTCAATCCAATTTTCTATGGAGTGGGGATGGCCTTAGAAGAAAAATACATTTGGTCAAATGGAAGGACATTTCAAAAAGTAAATAGCATGGGGGGGTTTAGGTGTTAAAAGGATTAGACTTATGAATGATAGCCTCTTATTGAAATGGTTGTAGAGGTTTGGGGCTGAACCTAATGCTCTGTGAAAACAGGTGAGATATAACAAATACAATTAGGTGGGTGTTAGGTGGTATCCAGAACCTGTTGAAAACATTAGGAACTCATGTATCTAGGCTGACATTTTGGATCTTGCTAGAGCCAGACCTGATTTGGTGGAATTCTACAAAGAAAATTCTGCTCCAATGATTGGGGATGGGAAAAACACTATGTTTTGGAGAGGTACATAGTGCAATAATGTGTGCTTAATGGAAGGTTTCCTGAGGCTCTATTCCTTGTCTTTGGATAAGTTTGAATCTATGAATGTGATGCATATCAAAAGAAATAACGAGGTGGAATGGAACCTTAATTTCAGAAGATCACTCTTTCAGTGAGAGGTAGAGGAATTGAATAGATTGAGGTTTATTTGGATAGAATATGCATTGGTGGAGGTTGAGATGACCTTGAGTTTGCTGTTTTCTTGTGTGGAGTGTGGTTTGCATTGGTGTGAGGTCTACTGGGATTTTTTGGAGGCTGTCCCGCTGCTGGGTGGGAAAATTGGGCTTAGGACTGGGGTTTATCAAACTATAGATGAGGTTTATATGTGAAAGTATACATTAAACCAACAGGTTCAATTTTGCATTAGGATGTGTAGATGGCCAAGGGTGTTGTGATGGTGCTTCTGCAGTAGGGATGTTTGTTTGGCTAAGCAAGAAATTCTATCTTTTGGTGTGTTGCTGAACAGATGCATAGGGCTGTTTTTTGGTGGACTGTTTTGGTGTGTTTTTTAATGTGTCTTGTGGTTGATTTCTCTTCAACCTTGAGGTGTGTTAACAAATGATTAGGCATTCCTTGCGTTGCCAACCTAGTTGAGATCTTGCAGTTATATATTGATGCTTTTTGCACTTCTTCTTCCTTTATTTGATGTAATTCATTTGTATGTATGACAATTATCTTCAATAAATGACTGTTTTTTGCTGTTAAAAAAAAAAAGGTGACAAGAAATTGACTACTTAATTAATGTTTAACGGATAAAGCAAAGTAAGGAATTTAAGTACATGTAGTTGTTGGAAATAAACGGTCACGATATGGGCTTTCAATAATTTTTTTTTTTTTTTGTAAATTCCAAATTATATAAATAGTGTAAGAATAATTTATTTTTCAAATTACAGTAAAAATTTGGGTAACAACCACATTTTTATGAAAATCATGCTTTTAACTTGAATGTAAACACTTGAAACAACTAAAGTAAAATAAAATAAAATAATTAGATAGTGTTAACAAAAATCTGATTAATAATCACGTTTTATCAAAAGTTTGAGAATATAATTTATCTGTACCCTATCTATTTAATTTTGAATTACAAAAATATAAAATGATTTAAAACCCACAACGATGTTAATTACAGCAAGATCAAGACAGAACATGAATAAGGACATTTTTATTACTGACTACACTGAACTCTAAGGAAAATGAGTAAGGATCCTCTAGAGTTTTTTTCTTAAAATTTTTTAGAGTGGTGCATTGTGTGGTTGAGATTTAATGACAACTCACATCAATTTTTTAGCATTAAATCTCATTTATGCAATACACCACTTTACGAAACTTTAGAAAAAAAATACTCTAGAGGATCCTTGGTGAAGGAGAATTTAAAAAAAAAAAAAAAAAAAAACAAAAAGAAAATGGAAATTAAAAAGAAAAAAATAATTGGGTATCTTGAGGCGCACGATACGCACCCTATTGTTGAAATTGTAGTATATCCAGCTAAGAGGCCAAAGATAAGACAAATGTGAAACCTTGTCTGGGGGTTAGGCAGGACACGTGTCATCCGATCTCAACCTGTGGTCCCACACCATGATGCTAAATTGCACCGTTGTTCCCTTTCCATGACCCCTCTCTGGAACACCACCGAGCACTCCGGCAACTCCCCTAGGTCGGCGAACAACGACTCGTCCTCCTCCCTCATCGACAAAATCACCGTCCCATCAACATCGCCACCATCCATAATGGGGCTCTCCAGCATGGTAGTCGACGATGTGGTTGTTTCCAAGTCTAAGAACCACTTGAATTGGTACGCACCAATTAAAGAATCTTCTCCCAAATTCCCGAATTTATGAAGTTCATTTTCGAAAATCATCGTCTTTTCGTCATCAGAATTCGAAACTGTAGTAGGGGAGATGGATGTGACTTCTGCGGCAGTGGTGGTGGTGGCAGTGACAATAGTCCCTTCGATTTGTTGATTGTGGTGGTGACGGTGGTGATTTTTAGATGCCGGCCAAGGGTGGTTGTGCTCGGAGGAGTAAGTGACCACTAGCATAGTGGGGTCCACACGGCTCCTCTCAACTTGCTTTCTGGCTGGGCAGCCTTTGGAACTACTGCATCTATAGTACCCTCTGCCAAATCAAACGGCTCAGATCAGATTTCAGACCTTGTGATTGCCCCTTTTGTCCTACTACTAAATCATACGCAGCATTACATCAAAAAAAAAAAAAAAAAAACTCTCGGGTCTTATTTTTACCTTGGATAAGGGGACCCTTTGATGGGTTTCTGACCGTACTTCCTCCAAGCCCACGAATCAGACGGTGGAGCACTCTCCCCCTTCAGCCTCGACCCTTCAACGTCTCTGATTGGCACTGACACCACTCTTTTCTGCGCATCTCTCCTAAAGAATCAAATCCCACAACGTGGTTGATCTTTAGTACTCTTCTCTTTCTCATCATGCAAATGATTGAACTAGAACATGAAAAACCCTAAAAAAAAATGTCTAGTCCTTGCTTAGAGTTATATACATATATTGTGTTACATACCTTCTTTTAGGGGAGGAGGTAGAAGCGGTCTTGCTGTCGGTGAAGGTGGCGGAGCGTGGCGAATCGGCGCTGTTTTCCGGTGAATTTTCATTGTCTTCTTGGTCATTTACAAAAGGGTTGTTGCTAAATCTCCTTTCCATGGCACCCACTAAGCTGAGATCGATTGGAATTGCCAAAAATTAGATGTGACGACGATGATGATGGTTGTGGTGGTGGTGGTGATTTTATTGGCCTGCAAAGACAATTAAAAAAGATTGCAGGCAGAGAGAGAGAGAGAGAGAGAGAGAGAGAGAGAGAGAGAGAGGATGGGGAGAAGAAATGGGGGAAGGTGGTGAAAGATTGGCTGGCCCGTCTAAAATGGGGCCTAATGTTGACAGAAGGGCAGTGGAATAGTTTATAGAGGACGTGCAAGCAAATGTGAAAATAATACAAAAAATTTTAGTCTATTATATTGTAATGTGAAGGCGACGCCCTTGTGTTGATTTGATTACTTTAATCCAAGTGATTCGAGCACTTCATCTCTAGGTTAGTAGGCAATTCTATTTTACATACAATAAATGTCTGATACACTCATAATATGTATTAATATAAAGAAAAATATTATACAAACAAGTGTAATGAAAAATTTTATGTGTAAAATAAAAGTTGAAATTAATTACATTAAGATTCTCTAAATTATTAGCAAATACTTCTTTACTTCCGCCATCTATATACTTGTATATTTTGATTTCCTTAAAACTATCTTTAAAATGTATGCATTTATATGATTTTTATAGTTGATAGGTTCAATATGTATGCATTCATAAATGAAGAACGTCAAGAGATATTTGTTAATAGTTGAATGAGATTTTGGTGTAATTAAACTTATATATTTTTCTTGGTGTCTTTTTTTATATGAGTTTATGATCCAAAACATTATTGTTTAATTTAAAAAAATTATTAATGTCTTCAGTTTCTTTTATTGAGAATAAATTAGGCTGATAGTTCTTGTATTTATTCTTTGTGTCATTTTAGTTCTACAATTTTAATTGACACGATTTTAATATAAGAGTTTAAATATTGTGACATTTCGATCCAATTGATAATTGACGTTAACAAAAATTTTGTAGGTCAATGACATGCGATTAATTTTCAAGGGTACAATAGAGGATTCACTCACTCTTTTTTCTTCTTCTTACTTATTCTATTACGTGACAAACAAGGACACTTTTTTTCTTTTCTTTTTTATTTTCTTATCAACAAAAAAACTTTTTTTTTGATAAAAACAACACATCACATATGTAATTGCATCAATCAAGAGGGGGGCAAGACTAAAAGCATTATAGTGTAGCTTCCAAGTCGAGAAGAACACACAATCAAGTGGTAGCTCAAGCCAAAAGAGTTGGTGACAAACAGAGACACTTACCACCAACATTCCACTATCTTCTACCTCTTGTCACTTCTACCATATCCGACATTGCTAAACAACACTAAGCATCGACCAATATAGATCTACAAATCTTTTATTTTGTTATTTCTGGTTCAATGTTGCTTAATGCATCACGTCATCAAACTCCTCTTATGATGCAGCACTAAAAGCAGCCTCTCTTTCTCAACCAGTCGTGACGCTAGTCCTCATCTCTTCCCCAATTACAATGGCAGATTCCTTCCTAGCATAGACACAAACCCATTTTTTACTCTTCATTCCCAATCCAACCGCCACCTTCGCCCACCCATAGAAGCCCCACATTCATTCCCCTTTGTTGGCCTTTCTACCTCTCCCTATATGTAAATATATATTTGATAGTTTTGCTAATTAAGTGGGTTAACTCACTGTGAGTTTAGTGAGTAAACTATGCTTGATAGAATATGAAAAATGATCATTTTGCCCCTACAAATAACACCGATGAAATTTTCATTACAACAATGCTAGAGGGCCATAATTTTTGTGGCCACAATGGCTCAAAACTGTCAAAACGACGTCGTTTTGGCATGTTTTGCACCCAAAACGACGTCGTTTTGACAGTTTTGAGCCATTGTGGCCACAAAAATTGTGGCCCTCAAACATTTTCCTTTTCATTAATACTTTTAATATCTGTTATCAATTAGATCAAAATGACTTTAAATTCAAAATGTAATGTCAAAATAAAGTTAATTAAAATTTTAAAAATCAAAATGACAGAAGGTACAAAGTATAAGAATTACTAACATAACTTTTTTTTTTAATCAATTTATTTTTGCCATACCGGGCAACTAGTCATAGGTTGATAGCCATTAATAGAGTAAATAAGTAAAAAAATATATGTGAAAAAATAGAAAGAAAGAGATTGAGATTTAGACAAAGTAAACAAATTCAAAGGATGAAGAAATTAAGATTATTGGCCTCATTCTTATGAGTTCAAAGTGGATCATATGCAAAGCTGGTAAGAATACCATAACTATCTCTATCATATCTCAGTAAGGGCTAGTGTGTACTGTATAGGGAAGAGTCTCCATATTTAAAGTAGGAAATCACAAAATATCAAACTATTCCCAGTCACACTCAAAACAATAATTTCCCAATTTATTCATACTAGAATGAAGAACTCAATTAACATGAACCAAGAGTGCCCAAATCACCCTCTCTCTCTCTCTCTCTCTAAGCTTTCCTCCCTAAGCCTTCTGTTAGGTGTGTCGCCGAGGGTAAGTAGGGATTCCGGCCTCCGGCCTCCTCTCTCCTCCTTCCACCTCTTTTTTCTCATTTTATTTGTCTTTTTGCTTAATAATATTGGAAGTTTGTCCTCCCAACCCTTTTCGGCGACGCTACCACCATACTGCCACTAGATCTCCCACCTTCTTGACTCCTTGGATCCACTCTTACTAGATCTGCCTCATCCCTTCCAGATCTGCCTCTGGTCATCTATGTTGGTTTCGCCTTTTCCTCTCTCCGATCTTCTGAATCTAATATTTGACTTGTGCCCAAACTCTAATCCTCCCACCCAAAATTTTAAGATCTGCTTTCAGATATTCTCACAATCAAAAGGCCAATGTTATTTAACGCATTTATTTCACGTTAGGCGACCACCTCAGTCTCAATATTCTATTTTGACCAGCGGAGGTGGAGTCTTTAGATTTTAAGTTGACGGTTGCGGTGTAATGGAGCTTTGGATGCGTTTGGCGACTTGGATCTAGTTGCTTTAGGTTTGTATTTATTTTTAGTTTTTAATTGTTTGCTGTAATAATCATTCCTACATGAATGTTGTGCCCCTTCTTTGTGGGGGAGTTTTCTCCTCCTCTATTAAGGTTAGGATATTCCTCCTATGGAAGTTTGTTATCTCTTTATGATATCTTTTACTACCGCTATACGAAATTGATCTAATTTTTTTATTAATTTTGCAATAAAGATTTTTTTTTCTCAATCTTAAAAAAAAGTAAAAAGAAAAAGAAAAAAGGTTTACCCAAATCACATGCCTCCTGGATTTAAACCTTGACATTTAATACAATAAAAGAAGAGGCCATTTGATTTAGTGCACATGGTCTTTGGCTGCAATGAAGGAGAAAGAGTAATGCAATGTTGTTTTTCTACTAATAAATTAATAGTTTGCTGAATACTTCATTGATGATGATCTCATCAACTTCGGCCTCAGTTCCGAGCAAGGATCCTCTAGAGTGATTTTTCTTTAAAGTTTCTTAGAGTGCTACATTGTGTGGTTGAGATTTATTGGCAAGTCACATCAATTTTTCTGATGTGACTTGCCAGTAAATCTCAACCACACAATATAGTACTCTAGGAAACTTTAGGGAAATTTCACTCTAGAGGATCCTTGGTGCTCAGTTCCACCTTTCATTTAAGGGTATCCATCTTCCCCACCGTACCCTATCCTTAAATCAATTTGTTTAATAAAAGAAAGTCAATTGAATCCTATCTTAACAACGTTGTTTATTAGAACTATTTGGTGCAAATGATTAATAGTTATGTTATTGAGGTAGAGAAGTGTGTAAAATTAAGAGTTAAGTAATAACAGGAATAAAATGGCAACAAACATAAAAGGAGAACTCACTTTTTTTTAAAAATATTTTTAATCAACAAAATCAAAGTGCCCTAAGTTTTCCGACTTATTTATAATAAGCTTAATTACAATAGTGGTTAGGCCTGTGTGTTACACATGATACGTGATTTTTGATCAATTGTTTCTACTGTAATTATACGTGTCTCTTAAATTGGTATGTGATATGTATACAAAGTATGAAGACTTGAACGGTTAAATTAATCTATATCCAAAATATAACTTAGTAATAAATGAATATATACTCGACTTAATATTTTAAATAATAAATGAAAAATTTTATAAATATAAACATTAATTTATAACTAGATTGTTAATATCACAATCTTATCTTAAATAATAAACAATAAACATGTCCTTTAAATATATAATATTATACAAATTTTTTTAATTTTTCAAAATTCGTACCTGTAATACAATTGAAGGTATAAAATTAATTGCACAATTACACAATTTTGTTTAATAATTCATTTCATAATACAAATTCATTGAATCCACTATTACATATTATTTACATATTATTGGTGTACAAATACATTAATATTAATATGTAATATATTTTTATACATTAAGAATTTTTTAGTCTCGTTTTCTGTACCACGAATATTTTGCATGATGAAAAATGTAACGTTAGTCATTATTATACAATTGCTATACAATTGTAGTGAAAAATGACTATAAAAGTACAATTATTGTCATGATGTATGTGTTTTGTAAAGTCTTGGTTTGTTGTTAAAAGTGTTTGTTGTGTACACCTATTTGTATGACATGTATATATATATATATGTATTGAATATAAGTTAATAGGAGAGCAATACACAAATTCGTAATTTTTTCATAACAAAAATAATTATATTACTAAGCCAATAAATGTTAAAAAATTAAAGTATATAGAGTTTCAATCCTTGTTAATGGCTCACCCACTGTTGAATTTAGTCCAGGAAAAGGACTAAGATAAGGGGATCTGTTGTCACCTTTTCTCTTTAACATTGTGGCGAAAGGGTTAAATATGTTATTCCAAAGAGCTAAAGCATTGGGGCTGATTAAAGGAGTTGTTATACGTCATAGGGAGGTTATTGTCACTCATTTGCAATTTGCAGATGATACAGTGGTGTTTTGTAAGGTTAAGGAGCAGGAAGTTTTGAATGTAAAAAGAATTCTGAGGTGCTTTGAGGTGATGTCTGGCTTGAGGATTAACTTTCATAAAAGCCATGTTTGTCGGGTTGGATTACAGGAGGAGGTTTTGGCTGATTTTGCTGTGCAATTAAACTGCCAGAGTCATAAGCTGCCGTTCACGTATCTGGGTTTGCCACTTGGTGCCAACCCAAAGAAGA